CCCCGTGCACAGCCTCGCGCTCGTCTACGAAAAGGCGGTCCTCTTCACGTCGCTCCACGCCCGTCCGTCGACGCTGGCGACCGTGCTCGGCAAGGGCATGGCGCCGCTCACGACGACCAACACGGTGCTCATCTCGACCATGGTCGACGAAAAGGATGTGCCCGTGGTCATTCCCGCGCTCGAAGTTGAGACGTGGCCCTCGCAGATGCTCATTGGCAACGATGCGCAAAAGGAGGTTCTCGAGCAGCTCACGAACCCGTCGCTCACGCCGACGCGCGAGGCGTTTGCCGCCGTCTTTGACAAGTACGTCTATAAGAACGGCAAGACCAACAAGATCCGCGGCGTGCTCTCGCCGCTATTTGTGACCCAAGTCGCGGCGCGCTGCGTGTCGTCGGCGTCGCTCGGGCTCTGGCGGGAGCTCCGCGTGCTCATCCGGTCGCGCCACCTCTGCAGCCGGACGCTGCCATCGCTGATCCCGACCTTGCTCGCCCACAAGCAGTGGGGCCTCCTGGATACGAGTTTGCGCTGCCTCGCCGACATTGATGAAGCCACGAGCATCCGCATCATCAAGTTTGTGCTGCGTCACGCCAACGCGGCCAGCGTCGCGCGCTACGAGAAGCTCACCAAGGACGCCAGCGTCACGACGCCGGCGCAGCTCGTCGACCACTTTCTCCACCTCGTGGTCGTCTTGCCGAAGACGGATGTGTTTCTGCAGAATGCGATGGCGACGTTGACGCTGCCGGATGTGCTGGCGCTCCTCGCCCTTCTGAAAAAGTGGTACGTGCGCAAGGACATTGACCTGACGGCGGTCGTCGAGTGGATGAGCTTGCTCGTCGACGTGCACTTTACGCGCCTCGTGCTCGAGAGTGACGAAGGCTCGATCAAGCGCGTGGTGGGCGAGACGCAGGCCATGGTGGCCCAGCACCTTGACGCGTGCACGTTCATGGCCGATGTCCACGGCGAGCTCGACCAGCTGCTCTCGGGCGCGCTCCTTCCCCAGACGGGCACAGTCCCCGACTACTCGGTCGAGACGGTCCTGCTGTAGATAGTAAATTAAGAAACTCATACACACATACACTTGCTCATGTTGGATTAGACGTCGCTCGGCTCGAAAAGGCAACGTCGTGTCGGCTCTGGTTGCTTGGAGATCGTTTCGTAGACGGCGCTAGTGTCGTCGAAGACGATCGCAGAGTGCTTGCAGTGCAGTGGAGTCGAGTGCACTGGGTCGTTGGGACCGCTACAACTAGTTCGACGGCAGCATGGAGATCGGTTGTCTTCGTAGAGGGTGCAAGAATACCGATGGGACTCTGCAGCTCCATGTCCTTGGCTTGCCGGTGCAGTACGGCCTGCTTGTGTCTGGCGTTTCCAAGGAATGCGAGTAGGCTACTGAGTACGAACGCAAGGGGCTTGTCCGAGGTAAACTAGCATCGACGACAAAGGACGTTGTCATGGAGGGCGGAAGCTTGCATGTACTAGTAGATCCTAGACGAGTACAACGCCATGGCTGACGCTTCTTTTCGCACTCGAGCCAGTGGGCTCAATCGATCAGTCAATCAATCAGTCAATCAATCAGTCAATCCAACGTGTTCGCGTTGAAATCAAATGAGCAAAAACTAACGCCAAGACTTCGCATACGTAGTGCTACGCCAGAATGCGTGGGAGTTGGCACCAGCACTTGGTCGTTGGGAGTGAGCTGCGCACGAAGAGATCCATTTCGTGGTGGACCCCACTCGCCGAGGGATAGCTCGCGCGAGGTCGCACGGAGGCTCCTGTATTCGGACCACCCGACAGAGGAGTGCAAGCCCAGCAAGTGCGTTGCTAGTTGCCTTTACTCGACTTGCTTTCGCCGTCGGACCTCGCGCTGGGACGGCACGGCAGACTACTCGTTTGCTTTTTGGACTGCCAAGCACTTGGCATGCGAACGTCAAGGGTCGATAAACAGTGTATAGACCCTGCTAGCATGTTCGTCCTCACCACCGAGTCGACACACTCCAAGTTCGCCCTTCGTCCCAAGCGGATCGACGAGTCCAGCAGTTCAAGACGTGTATGCAACCAATCCGTCCTTGCAAGCACGAGGGTTCATGGATCGGTGCGAAAACCAAACGCGTTTGGCGGCCAGCTTCTCGGTCGGTCGATGGGTGGTGACGCGCCGTTGGCTGCATTGAACACACAGACTGGTAGTAGCTCCGACTGGCCAGCACCAGACTCGTGGTGCCTCGACATCAAGCGGCGTCTCGAAGAACACAATGCCCAAGTTCAAGAGCACAAGACGGAAGCGGCGGTGAAACGCCACCTCGCAGAAGCCGCCCGATGCACCAAGTACCACTTGCGGTCTCCGTCGATCAAGAAGCTGGGACCGGACTCGATCCACCAGATGCGCGACGCCACCGGTCAGGCTCGCACCACGCCGCGGGAGATCTCGCAGGTCCTACACGGGTTCTACACGTCGCTCTACGCCGCAGAAGAAGGACCGGACGCCCACGAGGTCGACCAGTTCCTGGACTCCACGATCAAGACGCGCCTCCCGACTGACATGGCCCAGCGCC